TATCTTGTGGCAGCAAGATATAAGCAGTCATACTTCCAAAATATTAGAAAGTGTGTCAAATACCCAAATTTCAATGGTTGTCATTTGAGCATAGGAAACAGGAGTTCAATGTTTTTCTCCCCAGTGAAGACAGGGCATCTCATTTTAAAACAGTATTAGTATGTAATTGCAGTTTTCCCCAAGGTACTGCCATTGAACACACAATGAGGGGAATTACAGCCTTACAAGGCCTCCAACCCTCCCTGGCATCCTGTCATCAAAGGACCATCTATTTCCAACTGCTGCTTCTTGCATTTTGGTTCTTAAAACAAGTCCCGGGGTTAACACAGAGCATACTTTTTAATTTATAATTAAATAAAATATTTATTTTTATCAGAGAATTCCATTTATAGTCCATTAATTTTATTAAAATCGTTTTAGAAAGTTCTAAGACAGGAGGAATCATTATGGAAGAATTTTGACTTAGTAGTTTTAAAATCAAGACAATGAGGGGCAGGCTTAAAAACTGACTCCTACATCAATGGATTGCTATTAATTTGTACTCTTTTCCCAAACTGACTTTTTTTGGGGGAGGGGCAGGGGTGCATTATCACTGAGCTCTATCTCAGGCCCTTTTGACTTTTTATTTCAAGACAGAGTCTCACTAAATTGCTGAAGTCCTTGCTAAATGCCAGAGGCTAGCCTTGAACTCGAAATTTGGTTATCCTTTTCCTGGCTTAGCCTCCTGCATTGCTGGGATTAAGTCACCCTGCCTGACCCAGAATAAATGATAAACTTTCCACTAAAAAGGTAGATTGGTCTCAGGTAGAACCATGGTAAATTAAATATAGAACTTACTCAGAGAAAGTGAATAGAAACAATTTTCAATGTTTTCAAACATCAGAACCTTTGAATGAGTCTTCTTAAATCAACCTCTCATTCTCACAATACTGATCTTTGCTGAATTTTTTTTTTTTTTTTTGGTACTGGGGATTATTACACTTTGGGCCTCATATATACTAGGCAAGTGCTATGAATCTGAGCTACATACCCAGCCCTTTTTGGTTTTGAGACAGGGTCTTGCTGCTAAGTTGCTCAGGCTGGCTTTGAATTTGTGATTCTCCAGTCTCAACCTGCTGAGTAGGAGCAGCCACCATTCTTGGTGCTCAAAGTATTTTTAAGGCCTTATGTAGAGCTTCCTTTCATAGCCTACAGCACATCTTTCTTCAAATCCTTAACAGAGACAAATCTAATGGCCTTGGTCCTCAGTTAAATATGGTATTTGGGAAGAGAACAAAAACAATGTACTATTAAATGTACATTTCGAATAAAGTATTCACTAGCTACTCGAAGGTATTCAAACCACCTCTTTGCTTTACAGATGTAGTTTGTTGTTTTGATTCAAGCTTTAAGGATTCTATTTTAGGAAACTCAGGTACAATTGCTATGGAGGAAAGATTAGATACAGAAAGCTTAGGGTTGGGAAAAGGATGATGACCAGATGAGGTTCTCCTTTTGCAAAGGATACTGGAAGAGAAAGACAGCTTAGTGGGGTGGGGGTTGTGGGGGTAGGGAGTGTGGCTAAAATGTTTAAGAGGGAAAGATTTACTGAAGTTCAGAGATTATCAAAGGCACTTATCTCAATCACCTAACATATTCTGTATTTTTAGGACCCTAATGGGACCAAGGAAATTAACAACTTTTTTATTTTTTAAATTTAAAGATAGGGTCATCTGTAGTCCTTTTTATATTTTATTTTGAGGCAGGGTATCTCTAACTTGCTGAGGCTGACCTTCAACTTGTGATCTCCTGCCTTATAGTCTCCTCAGTTGCTGGGATTATTGCCTTTGTACCCAGCTTGATGTCCATTTTCAAGCAATATTGCAATTTATTATTTGCTGTATGTTGCCTCTTCTTCCAATATCCTTGTTTGCTTTTATGGGAGTCTGAACTTGAGTTCCTGGTTTGGAGAATAAGGGAGTGGTAGGAAGAGGGAAAGCAGTGTAGAATGACAGTATGCCCCTTTATATAATTTTGGAGCTGAAAGGGAAACTAGAGGTCAAAGTGATACCAACAGCTTTTAGCAGAGGAAACTACATGGTTAAAGGACAATTAGGCTTCAAAGGTAGAAGTAGGTGCGGTATATGCAAATTTAGTAAATCATTAAACCCTGGGTAGCAACCTTTGTTCTCCTGCTGAGAACAGGGTCACAGCTAAAGTTTTTCTGGTAGAGAAGGGATTTCTAAAAAATCACCCTCAGAATTAGGCTGCCAGTACAAGAGCAGAGGATAGGGTTGAGGCAGACAAAGGATCTAGCCCAACCTCCTCCATGCTTATTATCCAATCCACCTCTAGCAAGACTTCATCTCTCTGGATCCTTTATTTTACCTATTTTTTTTTTTTTTTTGGAACAGCAACAAAAAAAGGTGGTTATGTCCCTTTCATTTTAGGACACTTTAAAACACATACTGTGCAATGTACTGAAAGTGGGGGTGGGAAAGAAAGCTTTCATTTATTTGAAAAAAAAAAAAAATCAATCTGACTTCAGAAACCAAATCTACACACATCCAAAAATTGAAACTACAGAATACTTCGAGGATTACTAAACTGTAACTGACTCATCTCTCTTCTTCACCTAGTTATCTTTTCCTTCAGCTCAAATCTGGTACTAGCCAGGACCAGTACACACCCCTGGAGCTGTTTCATTCCATTGGCTGGCAGGCCTTCTGCAGTCTACACCCTTTAATGTCAGGACACCCAGTGTTTATTTGTCAGAGACGTTAAACGGACCTATTTTTTTTTGAGGGGCGGGCAGTACAAAACAAAGTGTAAAAATAACTAACTTCACAAGCGCTTAGTAATTTCCTTTGGTTAATAAAACTGTCTAGATTTCGAACCTTGAAGACTAGTCATTTTCTATTTTCCTTTTTCATCTGTCACTATTCCAAAAAAAAAAAAATCAGAAAATAATTCTATAGTTTGCATTCGGGGGAAAAGTCAGAGGCCTACAAAAACTCTCACAGCACCATCGGATGGGCTAGGGGCCAGTCACTGCCTTCTCCAGAAGTGGAATTTGCAGGAATTGGACTAAAAGACCAGTGCAGTGTCTACTCTGATACAGCATTGGCATAGAGAGGCCAGCGGTGATGGCTCGCGGGGGAAGGACGCGGGCTGACTACACTGTGGTTTTAGGGCGGAAAAATCACTTATCTTCCAAAACTGCCACACCCGAGACCGGCTGGCCGGGGCGGAGAGCTTGGGAGGGGAACACCGCCCGCCCGAGCACAGAGCAGTTGCTCCTCGCAGGAGGGCGGGTACGACGGGGCCCAGCGAGCGCTCACCTCCCTTGCAGGGCGTGCGGTGCTGGCTGTGTTGGGCCCGGTAGCCCTCGATGACCTCCCAGGAACCGTCGTCGCGCCGAATGGGGAAGGAGAGGCTCAGCACATGGTTACAGGGCTTGATGATTCTCAGGATGCCTCGCACCCGGTTCCGCTTCTGTTCCTCGCTCTCCCGGGTCTTCAGGTCCTCCACCAGCTTATCTTCCACGATGCTGGCACCACGGTCGAAGAAGCCCTCCACCATCTTGAAGAAGTTGGGGTCGTCTTCACGGTCGGCAGCCGCCTCGCTGTAGTGGCGCCGGGAGGGCGGCGTGAATCCCGGCTGCGGGGAGGCGGCAGGTTGTCCGCGGGCCCAGCCCAGCAGCGCAGCCGAGTCGGCGGCCGCAGAGGCCAACGCAGCGGGTCCGGCGCGCGACAACAGCAGCGCTTCGCCCAGGCGGCAGTACATGGCGGAAAGTAGAGGCGAGAGGCGAGCGGGCCGCAGAAGAGGTGCGCTCGGAGGCCTGGGACTGAGGGAGGAAGAACTTGGCGCTGGCAGTCCTTTTAAGCCGCAGCTTCCTGCCTGCCTGGCTGTCCCCTCCCCTCGACCGCTCGTCGTCTAAAGGGAGGAAGGACTTCGGGGGCCGCGCGCCGCCCAGGGCGCTCGGCCTCCGCCTCCGCTGCGGCCTCGCCCGGCCTCCCAGGCGGCGGCGCGTGCCGGCCTGGCGTCGGGGGCGCGCAGGCGCGGGCGGTTGGTGCGCATGCTCACCGGCGGGTGGAGGGGTGAGGCGGATGCTCGGGCGGCCGGATCTGTTGGGAGCCCGCCCCTAGCCTTCTGGGGGTTCTCAGGTGTGTGCGCGCTGCTGGGGGAGGGGACCGAGCGAGGGAGAGGACCCTAGTCTCTCGGGGGCGCTGCGAGGCGTAGTTGCGGGGTCTGGGCGGGAGCGAAGCCTGGAGGTCTGGCCGCGGGCCCGGGGCGTCTTAGTCATGTTTCCGTCCGTCTGCTAAAGAGGGGCGGCCACGGGCCGGAACCAGTTGTGCGGGGCTCAGGCGCTTGAGGCCGGAAAGCGATGCGGAGCAGAGGGTGTTGAAGTCTGGCTCAGGGCTGGGCCTCCACCCGGGGTGAGGAAAGTTTTCATCACTAGTGGAACTGAGAGGAACTATAAAGGAGAAGGCCGCGGGGCTGGGGAATCCCTGACCAACTGGCTTTTACTACCGACGTTTTTAATTTGTCCCATTCTACTAAAAGACATCGAGATAAAAGTTACGCAAAGCACTGTTGTCTTCCTCGATTCGTTGACTGTACTTTCTATTTTCCAGAATTATGGTCATGAAATAGTCTAAAACAAGGCAATGTGGAAATGCGATTATGCTCAGGAATAAATAAATAAATAGGAAATGCTAAATCTAATGCACTTCTTTAAATAAGATGTTTGAAAGAGCCTAATGACTGTCATTAAGGAAAGCTACCAAATGCCACATGATCATCATTAGTGGTCCCATAGTACTTTGGAGGTTTTTAAGTGTCATCTTTGTGTATTTCCTGACATTCATCTATTAGATAACTTCATTTATCTATTAGAATATGAAAGAAAAATTAAGTCTCACAAGATTCTGTAAAGTATATTCTTATGTTTTTCAGCAGAAAAGAGACCAGTATCCTGAATTTATTTTGATGGTCAAAAACTTAAAGGTACCAAATTTTGTTTTCACTTGATAGTATTATTTTACCATTAAAAAAATATTTTTTGTCGTTGTTGTAGACGGACAGAATGCCTTTATTTGTTTCTCTTTATGTGGTGCTAAGGATTGAACTCAATCCTCACACATGCTAAGCAAGCGCTGAGCCACTGAGCTACAGCCCCAGCCCCTTATTTTACTGTTTTACATTGCAGAAGGCAAACACCCCAAAATCTGAAGTTTCAGAATAATAACACCCCCAAACCTGAAGTTTCAGCACTACCTATCAGCATTAGTAAGCTAATGGAAATGTTTTTCTTTTCTGGCTAATTCTCTGGTATGTTTTGAGGAAAGTGGTTTAAGAGGTTAGTTTTATCTCTTTCTTGATAACTGCAACCTTAAGAAAATAAATGTTTAACTTTGCTTCTTCTGTGGCTTGTTCACCTGAATTCAAGAAGATGGAATTTAAGCAGCTTTGGAAGGAGTGAGGAATAGAGTTCTGGAAATTCTTTTTTATTGAGAATCTCCTGTGTAGAGTTGTTTTATAAAATGGCTATATGAGAAATCTATAAAAGGAAGTTTTTTTAATTTTAAAAACATTCATTGTTTTAAAATTATATACAAGTTGTAAAAAGTTCAAATTTTACAGGGAAGTTTTTTTTTAAAGAAAGTGTAATTATCCAACCCTGCCCTTCTTCCCCCATTTAGTGCATAGTTGGAGTTATTCCTTTTTCACCTTAAATAAGGTATTATGATCACTTATTTAACAGAAGAGGGAACTGAGTCTCAGAGACAAAGTAAATTGTTGATGATCACCTGGATGATAAATAGGTTAAGATTCAAACCCATGTATCTGATCCCAAAGTTTCATTATTTCTGCTATTCCAAAAAGTATCTTAAGCATTTGTTCCATGTAGTTTAAAATTACTGTGACATAAAGTCTCTAAGTTTCAGCTTTAGATTTATGATTTCTTTTGTAAAATGTACAAATAGTTTGCAAATTAAAGTTTAATTATTTGTAGTAATTTCTGGTTCACAGGGGATCAAAATTTAACTTGAAGGGAATTTTGGTCATTCACCAAAGACAAATTGGTTTTCTGCCTTTGAAATTTATGAGTTTTTCTTAGCTGTTTTAAAATTCCAGGTTCTCCTCGATCAGTAGTGTGCTTTTGTACTTTCAAATGCTTCAAAAAACATTTTAGAAGACTGTCAGAATTTAGAAATGAAAAGCATGTGAATACATGAACAACAATCATTCGAAAAAATAGTGTAGTTGGAAAAGGTATATATTCTATCTCTCTAGATATGTCTATTCTGGGCATTTCATTTAAATGGAGTAATTCAGTAGGTAGTCCTTACTGATTGCCTTTTTTTCACTTAGCATGTTTTAAAGGTTTACCCATGTAGCACATATGTGTACTTCATTTTTTTTTCTTATAGCTGGACAGTAGTCATTGTATTGCTATATCACTATTTTTTCAGTGCTCTACCACTGTAGTGCATCTCCACTAGTTATTTTGACTATGAAGAATAATGCTTTTGTGAACATTCTCGTACATGTTTTTGTGTGGACATATTTTTTTCAGTGCTTGAGAGTGTTGACCTAGGAATTGCTGCGTCATATGGTAACTCAGTGTTTTACCTTTTAAGAAACTGCTAAATTGTTTTACACAGTGACTTCACCATTTTAATTGCTACTAGTAGTGTATAAGAGTTCCAGTTTTTCTGTATCCTTAAAATCATTTGTTGTCTTTTTTTGTTATAATCATCCTAGTGGCTGTGAAGTGGTATTATTTGCATTTCCTTGGAGCTATAGATGTTGAGTTTGTGTATGTTTTCATGTGCTTTTTGTTAGACAGCTTTTCCTCAGCCATGGCTATGACAAATATCTGAGAAAGACTGCTTAAAGGACGAAAAATTTATTTTGGCTCATGTTCTCAGAAGTTTCAGTACAAGGTCCACTGGTTCCATTGCTTTTAGGCCTGTAATTAGGTAGAGACATTATGGTACAAGGTATGGCAGAGCAAAGCTGCTCAGGAGAGGTGAAGAGAAAAGGGGTGGGAGGAAAAAAATATACCCTTTCAGGGTATATTCTCAATTTTCTACTTCCTTTAGCTGGCTCCAAGTAGGCCCCACCTCTTACACTTTTACCACCTCCTGGTAATACAAATAATGCCATCAAATTGTGATTCCTTCAATGTATTAATCCATTGATAAGGTCAGAGCCCTCATGATCCATCACTTCCCCAAAGCCCCACCTCTGAACATAGCTGCACATGGGAACAAGCCTTCAACACATGAGCCTTTGGAGGACATTCCAGATCCAAACTATAACACTTTTCTGATTTAGAAATGATCTGACTTAGAAATGATCTGACTTAGAAATGTCAGATTCTTTGCCTATTTAAGAAAAATATTTTTAGTTGTAGATGGACACAATAACTTTATTTTATTTCTTTATTTTTATATGGTGCTGAGGATTGAACCCATTGCCTCACACGTGCCCGGCAAGTGCTCTTCCGGTGAGCCAGAACCCCATCCCCTCCTTTGCTCATTTTTTAAGTTGGGTTATTTATTCTTTTATTATTGAGTTATAAGAATTCTTTATGTATTCTAGATGTAAGTTCTTTGTCAGCTGTATGATTTGCAAGTGTATTCTTCCATTCTGAGGATTGTCTTTTCACATTTTTAATGGTGTCTTTGATGCACTGAAGTTTTAATTTTGATGAAGTCCAATTTATAAGTATTTTCTTTTGTTGCTTGTGATTTATGTTATCTCGTGTAAGAAACTATTGTCAAATTGGAGGTCATGAAGAGTTATACCCATGTTTTCTTCTGAAAGTTTTACAGTTTTAGATTTTATATTTGGGTCTTGGATCCATTTTCCAGTTGATTTTTGTATATGTTGTAAAAAAAAAAAAGATCCAACTTTATTCTTTCCATATGGCTATCTATTTGTGTTAGCACTAATTTGTTTAAAAGACTATTTCTTTCCCATTGAATGGTATTCACATACTCTTTGGAAAATAAATGGGCCTACATGTGAGCATTTATACATATCTATTCCACTTATCCATGTGCCCGTACCATACATTAAATTACTATAGCTTTTTAAAAAAAATTATTTATTTTTTTGTCTGTCAATGGGCCTTTCTTTTATTTATTTATATGTGGTGCCGAGAATTGAACCCAGTGCCTCATACATGGTAGGCTAGTGCTCTGCCACTGAGCCATAACCCCAGCCTTAATTACTTTAGTTTCATAGTAAATTTTGAAGCTGATAATCACAGGTTTTCCAGTTTTGTTCTTTCAAGATCATTTGGTTATTCTATGACACTTAAATTTCCATATGAATTTTAGGACCACGTGTCAATTTATGCAAAGAAGTCAGCTAGAATCTTTATAGGGTTTATGTAGACTCTATAGATCAGTTTGGGTATTAGTACCATTTTAACAGTATTACATCTTTCAGTTGGTAAACATGAATGACTTTCCATTTATTTAATACTTTAGAAATTTCTCTCAGCAGTGTTTTGTTATTTTAAAATGGAGGTTAAATTTTATACTACTTAAGATTACAGCAAACTGAGACAGCATTTCCCAAGAATTGTATGAGAAAGTAACCCTTCAAATTTTGTAAAATAACAAAATTGTTGCGTGAGTGGTGAGCATATGCCAACCCCAGAACAATTTAGAATCAAGGATAGAATTCAAGAGAATCAAGGCTGCAGCAGTAATATTTTAGATTTATAAACTGTATGTCCATCTTAAGTGTTTTAGGAAAAATTAAGCTTTAAAATTTAAGGGCTCAATCTGTGATCCTGAAATAAAATATGTAATAAATTAATAAAAAATAAAATTTGTTTTTCTTTAGTCAAATTTATTATTATTCTTTTTTAAAAAAAATATTTATTTTTTAGTTGTAGTTGGACACAATAGCTTTATTCTCTGTATTTATTTATTTATTTTTTATGTGGTGCTGAGGATTGAACCCAGGGCCTCACAGGTGTTAGGTGAAGCGCTCTCACTGAGCCAGAACCCCAGCCCAGTATTTTATTCTTTTCATGCTATTGTAAGTGGAATTGTTTTCTTCATTTTCAGATTGCTCACTGCAAGTGTGTAGAAATCCAATTGTTTATTGTATACTGACCTTTTATACTTCAACTTTACTGAACTTTTTATTGTTAGGTTTAATGGATTCCTTAGGATTTTCTATATACAGGATTCTGTCTTATGCAAATAGAGAGTTTTACTTCTTCCTTTTCAATCTGATGCTCCCCTTTTTAATTCTTTTTTTTTTTTCTTTCTTTGCTTCCCCCCCCCCCCCCCCATGGTACAGGGATTGAACCCAAGGGTGCTTTGCCACTGAGCTACGTTTCCAGCCCTTTTATTTTTTATTTTGGGACAGGCCTCACTAAGTTGCCTAGGCTGGCCTGGAACTGGTGATACTACTGTCTCACTTTCTTGAGTCTCTGGAATTATAGGTGTGTGCTAATATACTTGACATAGTAATTTTATTTTGTGCATACACAGGTAAGTATCAGTTTTAGACTTAAGGATTTCAGTTTTCTGTCACATACGCCACAGTAAATACACTCTGCATGGAGGCAGTTTTATTTTGTTTCTCAGCTGTCAAAAATGATGTTTAATAATAGGCACAGCTCAGCAAAAGAGGCAGACATTGCCTACAAATAATCATTCAACAAAATTATAAAAAACTTTAGAGCCTATTGGAGTGACTTTTCATGAGAAATGGTAATCATGATAATAATAGTATTAGTGATAGTTACACTCTATTGCACTTTACTATATTTTGGCAATCTGATGACATTTTATTCCATTTTCTTGCTTAACATTACTCATTCTTCTTTGCTGTTTCATACTATTTCATTGTATGGATGCATCATAATTATTTTTCCCATCTCTCTTTGAATGACATATACATTGCTTCCAATATCTTGAAGTTGTAACAATGCTATAATAAATAACCTATTACATATTACAGCAGCTCTCTTTTTCATCTCTTTACCTTCTTGTGTATGTTATGACTTAATCTTAGGAAGAATTTAATAAACATCTAAATTTTGTTTTTCTGTAAAGTTGCTTAGTTCACATTTGACCTTAATTATTATCCTATCTAGTATTTCAAAAGTGATGTCATAAAGCCAAATTATATCACAAATCAAATATTTAACCTTTTAAACATAGACTTTTAAAATAAGCAATTAAAAATCTTGAAATTTTTAATCAGGCCCCATATTCCATATTTTTATGGATTTTAGTTCACATTAATCATTAATTTGCTAAAAAAAAGTGGGAATAGGAGTGGAGCCTTTGCTAAAGAAGCAGCATTTGCAGAGTTTGCAGATAAATGAGATCATAGATTGCAAATTTAGGGTAGCATACATTTGGTTAAAAACAATTTGATCAATGCAGTAATTTGGCTTAAACAACAGTTGGGTTGAAAATGAATATCCTCTAGTTATGATTTTTTTAGGTACTGGTAATTGTGGTGAATCATGGGTTGTTTTTCAAACTTTTGTGTTGAAACTTTCAGAAAACCTTTTTCTAGTTTGCCTTTGTATTTCTAATTGATTTTTCTGAAAAGTATTTAATTGTGACTTTTTTCTTTTTAGTGAGCAAGTTTTTGTAATAAGCCAAATAACAATAAAAGGAGTTGTATCAAAGAAAAGGATCTGAAGTTTTCAAGGTTTGTAGTCTTTCCTCTAAAACCTTATTTTCCTAATAAATCAAATGTTAGTTATGTCTCTTTGGTTTAGTTTTCATGTTGCTGAATTTCTGAGTAACTTTGAACAAAAGTTTTATCAACTCCTGCTTAAGGAGCCTTTCTTTATTCTAAGCAAACATGGAAATTCATAGTATGATCTTTATCCCTTTAAATATAGCATTCAAGAATTTTTAAGTCTCTTTAAAAATTAACTGTGCTGAGGTTGAATTCTGATTTCACCTGCAGTTATTCACTTTGTCTTTTTCATTGTTTTTAAATTTGGGTTAAATTTTTTGTTATGAACAAAGGATAACAGACTCAGTTACTCATCATTTAGCTGTATTTATTAATGTTCATGGTGACTCTATAAAAGCAAAACCTTATCCTGTATTTAGCATTTTATTTTTAAAAATTTTAGATCAATTGTGATTTCAATATGTGACTGGACTTTGGATAGTAAGAGAGAAAATGTAAGCTAAAAATTGGGGCACATTTGTAAAGCTGTTAAAAGCAGACATAACTGAAAAGTATATCAGAGAAGCAAAAAGTACCTTCTATTTCATCATCAGGGAAAAATTGTGGAAGAAAGACTTTATGTGAAATAGATGTGAATATAATTACATTAAGCTTGGTCCTTACAGCAATTAGAATTTTAAAAAGGAAGAGAAGATATACGGTAGTGAAGCACTAGGGATCAAGGTAGAGAGGGTTGTAGTGTTGAGTCCACTAAATAGCAGAGACCTAACTTCCTGACCTGAGAGTGTGAAGTGAACAGTTATTTGCTAGCTAGATTAGTTAGTATGTTTTGGCTTTCAGGTACCAACAATATCCAAATAAAATGGCTTAAGCTTAAGCCATAAACTAAGATAACTGTTACCTATCAAGAAGGTAGAGGCAGGACTTTTCCACTGTTAGAATTAAGGGTCTGTGAAACTATAAGATGCTCAAGTACTATTCTCTGTGTTATATTCATCACATTAGTGATATTTGTCCTAATGGTTTTAAGATGGCTTTAGCACCTGGTGGTGGTGGTAGGGGGAGGTTAGGTTCACATGGAGGTACAATCAAATGCTATAGAGAAAGAGCAGTTTCCTCCTCCTGTGTATACCCCTTTATTGTTGAAGGTAACCTCCTCCAAAGACTTGCTATCCAGCTTCAGCTCTCTTAGGCCCCAGAGTTAGGATTGGGTTACATCCTACCTCTGCCCTGGTTGTAAGGGAGGTGAGAAGGAGGACTTTTTATAGAGGAGGCACTTTTAACCCCTGAAATATAAGCAGGATCTGTGAGCAGGGAGGAAGGGTGGAAGGAGTGATTGTTAGATAGGCAATCAACAGTGTTTGCCATATTTTCATTGAAAATCACTAAACTGCGCTTTGTTATCTTATTGTGATAATGTAATTCCTTAGAATACCAGTAAAATTTAAGTTAATATGACACTGGGAATTATGATACAGTTTTCTTTTCTCTGCATTGGGAAATCTGCAATTTCTAGTTCTTTTTTTGATCTTATATAATGATGATTGTCTTTAGATTATGCCTCCTGAATTGAACATTGGCAGCTTATAAAGCAATAGTTTCACACTATGGTGTTTATTCTGTTGCTAGAATGAAGGACAGAACAGAAACCCATACTTAGCTTTTAGGGTTTATGATGAAATAGCAAGTGCTTAAATGATTCAGCAGACTTTTTGATGAAGTTTCCATGAGGGACTTGTTACTGTCATTGGTGTATGTAGGCAAGTGGCTTAAAATAATAAGAGGGCTCATCTGGTCTTTATGTTGAAATTAGAAATTTTTCTTGCCTTTCTTTGTCATAAGGGCAGAAATGATAGACTTAATTCTCTGTTATAATAATATAGTAATAGAAGCATAGCTTGGGATTAGACTACTTTGAAGATACATGAAGTAGATAGTCACAGTGGCTTTTACATAGTTATTGTTTTTCACAGTCTTCCCATTAAATGTGGAATCTTTATGATTGTATTCTTAGAGGGCTATTGAAAACTACATCTTGATTCTAGAAATTGACATCTGTCAGCCATCCACAATGAAAGTTCAGACCACCTATCCAAAAAGAAAAAGCAGGAATAAGTATTCAGTGAAATATCAGTGGGAAGGTACTGAAATAGAGAAATAACAGGATTCCTCAAGAATAAGAGAAGTTTGTGATGAGAGGCTCAAGTTAAAGTGTATATCCCCTAAGTCAGGTATTAATAGTCTTTAGTCAAAAAAGAAATTATTTTGAATAATACTCTTTTTGGTATATTCTTATAAGTTGGCTCTAATGAGTTGTAGACTTTGGCTAATATTAATTTCATATTCTTTTCTTTTTTTTAATGATATATGACACACCAAAAAAATGTGAACCAATTCACATTAGAGGAAGAATCATAGTTGGATTTAAATTAAGTAGAACAAACTAAAAAACCTAAGTGTTGAGAAATTTTATTTCCTTGCCTTCTATGGTTTTCATTTATTTTAATACTTTCTTGGGTAAAAGTTTAAAAGATATAAAAGTGAAAATAACAGAAAGATTTTGAACAGCCAACAATAAAAAATTAAAAAAAAAAAAAAAAAAGAAAATAACAGAAAGGTTATTCCATAATCCACCATAACTGCATTTTCATCTACAGATTTTCTGCAGTGACACAACTCTAGATGTCTGAATTAAGAAGCAGAATAGATGGATCAGCAAGGAATACTTACTATTTTATTCCTAATCTATTTACATAAATTCATAAAATTTCTAATCTATATCACTCTATTTTCGTATTTTTTCACAGTCAACTGCTATGTTCTCATGGAACATTTAAGTTTTTCTTTTTTTAAAAAATATTTATATTTTAGTTGTAGTTGGATACAACACCTTTATTTCACTTATTTATTTTTTTATATGGTGCTGAGGCTCGAACCAGGGTCTCCCACGTGCAAGACGAGCGCACTACTGCTGAGCCACAACCCCAGCCCCACATTTAAGTTTTTCTAATTTTTCTTTGTGGTTATTAAAGTAATAGAAACTGGCAAAAAATGAATTAGAATTTAAAAAGTAGGATAAAATTCAAAACATTCTGAAAAATGAAATAGAGATGCTTAAAAATTGCTTTAAAAATAATCAAAAGTTACTGTCTGATATAATAAGTGAAAAAATAATGACTGGGTGTATTCAGTTTTTCTACTTTCTGAAATTGATGTTTTGTTTTAGAGTAATTTTATTCATCATAAATTGTTTTGTAGTAATTGTTTTATGAGAATTAATTTTAGGTAAGAGTTACAAAGATACTACAGAGTTCCCATAAACTCTTCATCAAGCTTTCTCTAAGGATAACATCTTTTTAATTTTTCCTAGTGGTACTAAGAATTGAACACAATGCCACTTTACCACTTCCTTTATATTTATTTTTGTATTTGGAGACAGGCTATTACAAAGTTGCCCAGGCTGGCCTGGAACTTGTCATCCTCCTGCCTTAGCCTCCACTTCTCTGGGATTGCAGGCATGCACCACCACATCCAGCTTCTAATGATAACATCTTATATAGCCATGGTACCAAAATTAAGAAATTAATTTTAGTATAGGTATATTTATTTATTTTTAGTTGTAGATGGACACAATACCATTATTTATGTTTATGTGGTGCTGAGGATCAAACTCAGTGCCTCACATGTGCTAGATGAGTACTCTACCACTGAGCCACGACCACAGCCCTGGTATATCCATTTTTGGTGGTTGTTTGAGCCAAAATCTCCTGTTGACCAACATGCCCTTTTAGGTGAACATGTTTAGTACCCTGTGATCTGATCTTTCCATTCTTAGGCTACAGGTGACTGATTGTCTTTTGGGCAGATGTCCCACCTTGTTCAATCTGAATGCTGGCCAGAAATCTGTGATGTGACTTTGTCAATAAAGTGGTTTTCCTGTTGTAATTTCATTTTTAATCTGTATGTATCTTTATAATATCATTGTTTCCCTTTATAAAGGAATCCAAGTGTCTATTTTTTTTAACCCAAGCATAAATGGTACATATTAGGCAACAGCATCATAGTTCACTGTCAGTGGAGTATGTGTATGTATGTTTTTGAGGAAGGGGAGGGTCCTATGGGAGAAAAAAATGGTGAGAGATCAAGAGACATTTACCAGATTATGTCTCTCATAGGGCCAATTTATTGGCTTTCCCAATAACCCTCTATTGTATGCTTGTTCTTTGTGGTGTTTGAATCTGTTGATGAGGACCTTTCATGGGTTCTAGAATATTTTCATCTGCTACCCCCTCAAATACTATCTGTACCCTCTTCTGTTCTCTTTATCTTCTGTGTCTCAGTCTACTCTTGTAAAATACTAAAAGTATTTTCCAACTTTTAATTTTTTTGTGATTTATTCTATAAGTGCCTTTGGAGAGGTGGAGTGCCTCCTTAATCCAAGATTTACAATTCCCTGAACCATGAAACTATGCAAACCTTTGTTATAAGACTACAGGGACTGGTTTACTTTTAGATGACTATTACTTTGAGAATGTTGCCCTTTGGCGCCACAGGTCATTGTGGGGAAGTTACCTTTTTAAACTCATTATTTTATTTGGGTTTTGTGCTTTAAATTATGTTCCTCTTAACCCATAAGACCCTCAAACAAAAATATTTTTCCTGATGACCAGACACCCTCAGGTCAAAAGCAGCTCTAATGTTAATTTTCCCTAGACTCCCTAGTTTTCCTTTATAGTTTTGGCTGAGTAACTCCTTACTCTTCACTTGTGACTTTTAAGAATTTGTTTTTCATACTTCACCCAATATTTTTTGTTGTTTTAATGGGAAGAATTGATTGAAATCTATCTTACCATTTTGGAAAACTGGAACTTATTTATATATTTCTGGTATTGATCATGATTAAATTAAAAAAACACATTCTACTTGATGTTGCATTATATCTATAGATTCATAAGGGGAGCCTTGACATATTATTGTTTAAAAAGAGTGTGGAGCATCTTTTATTA